ATTATTGTATCATTTAAACGTTTAACCTACCTCTAAAAATACTTTAAATACTTTTTACAAGCATATATTTTATAGTTTACGGTCATTAAATGTCATAAGATGGACTTTTTCTTGTTGACTTTGTCAACCCGTTTGCCTGATAAAAAGTATCTGTTGTTACTGTTCAGAGTTCAGCTAATCGTTCAGGCTGTAAATGTAAAACTCGCCTGTAGGACAGGAAGCTGTAAATACCAAATTCACATATCTTCTATCGACAGTTATTTTTAGTTTAGTAGAACCGTTTGCATGAAGGACAAACGCTGCTTGCTGAGAGCCAGGTAGTCATCAGAGCGATGTTGCAGTACAGAGCTCACGTGCACCTCCAGCTGTTCTTCTGAACAGAATTTCAAAATAAAATGAAGATGCTGGGATTTTTTTATTTTTTTTATTTTTATTTTTTTTAAAAAGCCACTTTAGATTCATCTGAGTTGGTCGAGATATAATTGATTGAAGTGTTTAACATTGATCCCAAATTTAACTACGATCCTGCAGCATTGATACATCTGGGATCCTCAGTCTGTTCACCTGAAACCATTTTGCGGTTTTATTTGTTTGGGAAATGTAGGCAAATTCCAGGCTGGGAATACGAGCTCACAGCATTAAAACCGCAAGGGGGGGTGGGGGTGGGGGGGAGGATAGTTATTACACGTAAAAGGGGGAGGGAGGGGGAAAAAAGGCATGCGAGCTGGTTCAGATGGGACAGCCCGCCGAGTGAGCGCGAGAGGGGGGAAGAGACATCAGTGTCTACAAACTAGCATGGAGGGTTTTCCTTGGCCTTAGAAGTAGAGAGCAGAGAGGGTATGGGAGGAGAGAGAGCTGTGAGTGTGAGACAGAGTGTGTGTGACGCTGGTTCCTGGAAAAGCAGAGGGCTGCAGAATAAACAGGCTGCATGCCTGAGACTGCCCTGTGATGTCACCACTGGGCAAACGAGGGACGAGGGGAGGAGAGAGAGAGGAGCAGAGAGAGAGAGAGACGCCCATCAGGTTAAAACAGGAGGCGGGGGGGCGAATGCAGAGCCAAAAGTGACAGAGGCTGAGCTGGAAAAGACAAGTCAGATGTGCAGGACGTACCGTCCTTCCTTGTAACGGCCCTAAAGGAAGAAGAAGGAAGAGGGGGGAGGAAAAACAAGGAGAAGACGAAGAAGAGGAGGAGGAGGAGAGCACTGATGGGTGCGTTTAACGGCCGCTCTGATTCTCACCTTTCTCTCGTCTTTTCTGCTTCATCTTCTCCTTTTGTGCGGCTCGCCGGTGCCTGAGATGTGAGGTGTGTTTGTGCGTGACCATCAGCGAGAGAGTGTGTGAGGCTTGTGTGTGTTTCCTTGTGGCAGAAGAACACAATGTTCGGGGAGAGAGTGTGTTTATGAGTTATGGATTTGCATTGGGCACGATTGGAGCCGCGGCACTTTGATAAGTGTCGTTTTCAGCCGTAAACACATCTCCCGTGTGCTTCCCCCTCCTCTCTCAGCACTTGCTTTAGCTGATATTAGATGAGAAAAAAATGAATGAAAAAGGAAGAAATGGGCCTTATTCCAACCAGGACGTCAGATTGCAGGCCTGAAAGTGCAGCATGGAGTCCTTTTTAACCTTCAGCTACAGAGGACTGTGAAGTAGCTCGTTCAGACGCGGGAATAATGACTGAAGAGCAAGAAAAGCAACTTTTCAAAGCAGAAGAGGCCAGTGCTCTCAAACAGTCTGTGGCAGCCTGCTGAAAGAATTACGCTGATAAGCTTTTGATAAAACTTTAGTTGTGTACAGGTTAAACTCACGCCTCAGTTCTTCAAAGGGTGTGATGAGATGGTGAGTCTTTTCAGGACCTTTGGAGGTCCAGAGCTTAAATACAGCGTGTGCATTTAACTGCTTTGTCCTTTACTGCTGGACTGGTCTGTGGAGCAGTTTCTCTTTTAAATAGTTGAGTGATTTTTACAGCTCCTGCAATGTGTCACATACAAGTTTGATGTTATTCATTACATGAACAGGTAGAGACATTCATCCATCAGCTGCTTTAAGACCTTTAGACACGTAACTTTTGATTATTTTGCGTGTAAAAAAGTTATTTTGGACTCAATAAAGCAGAGGTTCACAACCACGAATCGGATCAAGCTTGACTTTTTCAGATTTTTCTGATCCAAATGAACAGATTCGACCAATAAGATACTGCATTTGGCAACAAGCGTGTTTGTAGCTCAAAAGTGCTGAAAATAAAATCACATGCTTCTGCTTTTGGATGAACGCAGAATCGCTGGTTCTTTGTTTTTATGTTAAGAAACATCAGGAGCAGCTCGGCGTCGCTTTTCAGGCTGAATCATTCGTAAAAACGCAACGTTTTCAGCATATAAACACAACAGGTTTGCATCTGAAAATGTCTGTATTTCGTGTAGTTTGTAAATCTCATGGAAATCTTCCATCAAGCCTTCACAATCACGGCTGACAGCGGTACGTGAGTTTCACTACAACCTCAGGAGCCGCTTCCTTCTTTAAAAAGCAAAACCCAAAGTTTTTTATTTATCTTTAGATGGGACTCCTTCTCCGTCTTTCCTCTGCACAGTGATTCACGGCTGTGGGAGTTCGTCTGTCTTAAACGAGCTCACCTCGCTCCGTCCCTCCTCGCCTGCTGGTCGGTTTCCAGATTGTAACCATGGTCGCTTCTAAAATGAGCAAAGGGCCAGAGAGGAGCCAAAACTCAGGGCGTTGCTCCATCTTTAATTAAATATTGGGTACCTTGTTAAGCAGATTCACAAATGGAAAAGGAAATGAAAGAACAAAAAAATCCAACCATGTAGATTCTTTTCTTGGAAGGAAAGCAAGAGCCGGCTAAACGAAGGGATCTCATGACGGGGAGATGTCAAAGCTCATGTCCTGCAGGGTTGAAACAAATCAACCAGCGCGGACTCGACTCATACGTTGTTGTTGTTTTTTAAAATCCCCCACATGACGACAAGTCCTTAAGGAGCCGCTGGGTGTTGCTGCCCTGTTCTCCGATGGCGTGGATGGCAGCAACCATGTGGATGTTTCACCCCGGCACACGGAAAACACCGGCGAGAAGGCGGCGAGCCGAGTCGTTTGAGATGTGCAGTTACACTGGAGCACGTTCAGAAGTTTTTTCTCTGGTCTGTCTGCAATCCACTGTAAGGATCTTCCATAAGAGGCTTTTTGCACGTCTCTGTGATGCAGCGAGAGCGTCTGTGCTGCAACAAACTGGAAATGTATCAGAGATGTCTGAGGAAAACAAAAAAACGTGATCAGTTTGTTGCTATTTGAAAGGTCGAGCACGAATATGATATCCTCAAAAAAAAAGAGTAAATGTGCCGCTGTGTGTGTGTTTTCTATAAGCAGACCTGGCTCTGAACCCTCCTATTAAGTGTGCTGCTGATGGTGTGTTTTCCTCTTTATTAACACAAAGTTCCTTCAAGTATCTCTGGCTCTCGCTGCGCTCTCTGCAAACATGTAGGTAAATAATCAGCCAATCAACTCCTATTTATTCAGATTAAATGGGGAGGAAGCTGCCTGATTGGAGGGCTTCCTGGGCAGTGATTTGTGCGCAGCCGGGCTCCAGGTCAATGCGATCTTTGTGGGGAGACGCCGGGCTGCTGCAATTACACACGAAACCAGATTGTTTGGCTTTTTTTGTATATACAAAAGAGACGAGGGGACAAAAGGGCGCTATTTTTATGCAAGCTTTATTTAACACTTTCTCTCAGGGATCAGAGGGCAGGGATGACTGTTGGAAAACATTCCTGGAAGTGGTATAAGCAGGAAAAAGCAACATATATGTGGCTATTAAGGTGATTTATTATCAGGAGAAATCCTTTGGCCTTACATTGCACGTTCACTTGAGGCCGGGTTTTGAAATGAAGGCGAGCAGATACGCAGGTTTGCTTCCGTCCTGAAACTGCACAGCTGCTGGGGAGCACGAGCGGCCTTGTTAATTAAAACCGCAGAGCTTCGAGTCTCTTTTCAGGCAGGTAGAAACACAGAACAGTTAGTAGGGCTTTGATTTAATCCCATTCATCCATGCAACCTTGCAGCTTTAGTAAGTGCTCGAGAACAGGATCAATGTGACGCATGTGAACATGTTACAGAGAGCTGTTGGGATCCACTTTTTCCTATTTTCTGCTGCCTGCGCGTCAATAGACTGTTATTAATTGCTTTCACTTGATAGTGGGCCCAATCTGCAAGAGTTTCTAAGCTTGATTTTGCTACTTTTGATGCTGCTAAAAATACCCGAGGAGCTGATGCTCGCTGAGTGTCTGGAGAGGCTTTCGGTTAGAAAATACGTCCTTGAATGTTTTAATAATCTGTGGTGAGATGATGGTGACGATAATGTTCGCAGCTCGCTTTGCTGTGAGGTGTCACCACCTGTCAGGAGCAAACTAAAACAGCACATGCCTTTCTTCTTCTCTCCCATCATCCTCCCTTGCAGTCGACATCAACTCCGCGCTGCCCCTTCGTCTCCCTCCGGCCGCCATCCCCATGGATTTGCGCGTGGACCATCACCAGCAGCAGCAGCAGGTGTCCTCGCTCTCCCCGCCCGCCCAGCAGTCGCCCGGCCAGCCCGGCGGCGGCAGCGTGGTGGCGGCATCGGTGCACGAGCAGCAGCTGCAGGCCGAGCTGCTGGCCCTGAAACAGAAGCAGCAGATCCAGCGGCAGATCCTCATCGCAGAGTTCCAGAGGCAGCACGAGCAGCTGTCCCGCCAGCACGAGGCCCAGCTGCAGGAGCACATTCAGGTACGGCCGCGGTTGTGTTTGTCAATGAATGAAGTTCAAGTGCTGGAAAAAAAGGAGGCATTCAAAACAAATCCGAAACATTTGGCCCACGTTTTCCAGAAATAGCACGAACAGGCCTTAAAGCTGCAGATTCACAGCAGCCAAAAGAAAAGCAGTTAAAGCAGTTAAAGCAGTTAAAGCTGTGACGGGCCGGCAGGATTATTTGGACGTGATTGCACAGTGTTTCCACCAATCACAGTTAGTTCACCTGTGAGTCCATCTGTGAACAATGCTGGAAGAAAATGTTTTTCTAGACTTGACAAGAAACACAATAAATCCAGTAGGAGGCTTTCTGTGCCGCCTGTTCAGAACATTTCAACTTAACAGCAGCGCTTTCACCGCTCCAACCCTGTTCTGATCCGGTTCGGAAATGATTTAAATCCACCCTCAGTAGTAGGCACGCTCCATGATTCAGGAGCTCGTAGACAAACCTTTTTTTCTGC